CGCACAAGGGTGCTGCTGTGCCGAAGACGTGTCGTACTAATATCAGCTGTATACCTGGTCTCATTATCGGCAAAGAGTAACAGCCGCGACTACCTCCCCCAGGTGGGAGCCAAGCGCGACCGTTCCCAAAGCTGTGTAGTGCAAGTTGGGGGAAGACACCGTTCCTCCCCGACCACATACACAGCTGGCCCTTAGCGTCTTGCGTACCATTCCCGCCCACCACATTCCATATGCGGCACACAAAACGGCACACGCGTCTTGATGTGTCTGGGCCGCCACGTGGCGTGGCAATGACGTGACGGTCTGGCCGCCCTCTCCTCTCCTCTCTTCGGGAAACATCCCGTGTCCATTACTTCCTCTTTTCCCGCACCCCAGCTAACGCCCCACTTCTTGCATGCAACTCCAGTTCTCCCACTTCCACGACACTCTTTCCCCTCCCCCCCCACCCACCCCCCCACCCTGCCCCCGCCGGCTGTACCTTGATGTCCCTGTGTATGACCCCCTCCGCGTGCAGGTAGGCCAGGGTCTGAAGGATGGGCAGCAGCACCTGGACCGCAACATGGGCCCCGGGAAGGGGGGAGGGGGGCGGAAGACGCACAAGTGAGGAAGCAGCGGCCAAAGGGGGTTACGATGGCCCTCGGCGGGTGCGGGAGAGGGGTCTGAATGCTGATAGCTAAAGTTAAAGTCATAGTTATAGGAACAGTACTATTGGGCCAGATGGATGTAGAACGCAAAAGAGACGTGCGCATGTCGCCCTGGCTGGCGGAGGCACCTCCCCCTCCCCCTCCTCCTCTTCCACCGCGAGCTGACACCGGCGCCGGCGCCGGTGCGAGTTGGTGGACTGACATACAGATGTGCCGATGCCGCACCTAGCGACCGGGCAGCAGCTCCCCCCCCCCTGGGGCCCCCCTCCGAACGAGCCCCCACCCAGGGAATCCCCCGACCTCGCACCCCCACCAGGCCCCGTACATACAACCGTACATACAACAGGCGCGAGCTGGGAGGGCCCCCCCCTCCCCGCCCTTTCCGCCTGCCGTTTAACTCCCCCCTACCTTCTCCCCGGCGCCCTATCCGGTGGTGCTGTGCCGCCCTTCCGGGCCCCCCACATTTCCCCACACCTGGCCCAACCACCCATCTCCACCACCCACCCACCCTTGAACGGGAGCATCCTGAACACCGGACCCTAAACCCCCCTCTTTACCAGTCAACCAACTCGCCCTCACAGCCCCCTCACAGCCGTACCTGGTCTTCGAACGAGTCGAAGCACTTGAGTATGAAGGGGCACTGGGCCCTCTGCAGCAGCGACACCTCCGAGTACACCCGCTGGCGGGTCTGCAGGGTCAGGCTCTCCCGGCTGTAGCCCTTGAGAACCACCACACCGCCCGAGTACATGCAGCGGGCCCGGTACACGATGAACCTGCAGGGCCAGATGAGAGGGGGGATTGCCATTGAGTGCGCGTGTGTGTGTGTATGTGTGTGTAGTCAAGCCACGGCAGCAGACCGCAGTAGCAGCAGCAGCAGTAGCAGCAGTAGCAGTGGGTGGTATTGGGCAGTATGGACGTCTTTAACCTTCGCAGTAGCAGTAGCAGTAGCAGCAATAGCAGTGGTAATGACAGGGGAGTCAGTTCAGGCTGAGTGCGACGGGTGGGGGGTGGAGGTCGAGGCGCGGATGGAAAGGGTTCTGGGGACCAGGAGGCGGAGAGGGGAAAGAAGTTAAGAGGCATGATGGCGAGGGGTAGAGCGCGGGACAGGAAAGGCTGTTAGTAGGCGCTTCAAAGGGGGGGAGGTGGGGAGGATGTGCAGGTATGTTTTTGCGGATGCCGAACGATGTAAGTTTTGTCCAAGGCTAGTACCGCATCATGGTTCAGTTCAGGTGGGCCTGGTAAGGAACTGTATGCCTGAACGGAATTCAGTTGGTTGGGCGCTCACCCTTGCTCCTTATGCAGGAGAACCTTGTTTTTGAAGTCATCCAATTTTTCATAAAAACGGCGTTTAAGCTCATACTTGCTGAGCTTGCCGAAGAAGGAGCGCTGGCTTAAGCTGCTCGCAAAGCTGTTAATGCTCCGAGTCTCGCTGCGTAAAAGGTATCCATATGACATGTCAGCATAGCCAGGGCCTCGCCGCAACCTCGCAAAAGCTGTGACATGGACCATGTACACGAAGAAAGCCGCCTTCGATGACAAAAAGTTTCCCCATGGCTCACCTGTCACCTACGCTGCTCGCCGGCATCTGTCCTGGTCACAGCGCCTCTAGACCGCAGAGCTTTGTCGTCCCAGACGTTACGGTCACTCACAAGTAGCGTTTCGACAAATATAAAATGTGATTCGAGAAGAATGACAGCCTCTTAACATGAATACTTAAATTGCTTTGCAGCGGGAGCAGGCTGGGCGCGGAACCTCTTTGAAGGATAGTCCTAAATACCGCGTGTGCTATGGCTTCATAATTTACACAAAGCATCGCGCATGAGCATGCAGCAAAGCATGGATAGAAAACCCAATGGAGCGAGCTTCTCTTGTTACTTCGTACACTCGTACGTTATTCTCCCCCGTTGAGGATGAAATCTTCAAAGAACGTTCGAAGTATGTATTGATGTGTTATGAAGCATGTCGTGGAGTAGTTATTGGCGTTGTAATACTCGCTGCGATGATGTTCCTGTCCTGCTATCTACAGTGATGTGTTACGCGATTGAATCGGAGGCTTAAACTGCACTCAAGTTACGCTTACTGTTAGACATATAGCATAAAGACAAATAACATGGGTGTTGTTGCGATTCCCCCGAACCCTGCGGGTCCCGGCTCTTGCCGGGTGCACCTGGAACTTGACAAGGATGAGGCGAGAGCAACAATCGATCGCCTTAAGCTCGCGATTGATCGATTACGATCCAATCGCGTCTCCCTCTCGGCTCAGAAGCCCTCTGTGCAGCAGGTTGTGACGGCGCCTTCGCCTGTTCCTGGTACGTAATCAGACTCCTCTCAGCAACTGGCCAGTTCTATCCATGTTAATGCTTTAGACGTATTATCTCCGGGAGCAGTTTCAACATTGTAGTTGAAAGCGCACCCAAAGACTGTGGGTCCGAAATCTCATCCTGCTCTTCGTTCAATACTTTGCTTCCGCAGCATGATCGTCAGCAGTCCATCTCCACTGGAACAGAAGTTTTCGATTGTTTTCTCCGTTCCGCTGTGCAAAGCACTAATACCCAGGCCTCCGGTCCCTGTCCCTTCCTGCATCTCCGGCTGTGACCGAGCCCTCTCCAGAGCCTCCCGCGACACCGCCACCGCCTCCGCCAGCCATAGGCCCAGGCATTGCCCCGGCCTCAGCTCCCGCCCCGGGCCCCGCTCTGGCGCCGGCCCCACCACAACCCCCACCAGTGCCCACGCCGGAAGTCAAGGCGGCTCCGACAGCCACACCTGCCGTACCGTTCCCATACCGACAGGGCCCTGTGCAGGCGGGCCCTACACAGCAGCAACCCCAGCCTGCACCGACTTACATCCCCCCGACCGTTACGGCGGTGCCGCCGCCGCCACAAGCCGCCTCAGCTCTGCACCCTCAGGCGGCGCCGTTCGTGCCCTCCCGCGCCGCCGCTGCCACCGCCGCCGCAGCTGCGGCGGCTGCGGGTCACGCGCCCAGTGGCGGTGCCGGCTTCATTCCTCCAGCTTCAATACAAGGCCCCGGCGTGGGCGTGGGGATGGGGATGGGGATGGGAATACCACAACAGCAGTTCCAGCAGGCAGGAGCAGCGCAAGTGGCAACGACTCGTGCGCCGTTCTTGGGCACGCCTGCCGGTACGGCAAAGGGCCCTTGGTTTCGGTGGCAGTGCGAGGCTTTCCTCCCGGTCACATTGAGCCAATGGCGCGGGAAATGTGCACTGCTTCTGCTGTTGTTACTGCTGTTGTTGTTGCTGTTTATATCGAAGGGGAGAAAGGGGCGAAGGAGCTGCATGTAGGTTCCTGCAAAGATTCCAAAGCACCAACTGCTCCGACTGGGAAAGGGGGGATAGGGCGGAAAAGGGGCGACATGCGGCCACAGCCTGTTCTCCACGAGCTGCTACGCATGGCTTTGACACACACGTGGTTTCGAAATTTCGAAAGGATTGGGAAACACCCTCGTGCCCTTCCAACGGTTTCTGAGGGGCAGTGAAGGGCCCAAGGGGACCGGAGGACATTCGGCTGGACCCACCGCCACCCAAACCGACATGGAATGTCACTTGACCCCATCAAGTCATTCGGCTACGTAACATCCTCTACCCTACCCGCCAGCCTATCGGCTCCATTCGCCAGTGGTTCGTCTTACCCCCCAGCCTCCACCCAATCTCTATCCCCCCCCATATGTGTGCTGTGTGCTTTTCGCAGCTCCAGCGGCGGCGGTGCCGCCAGCTGCACCGCGGCCCGCAACTGCGGCTACCTACGTACCGCCGGCGATGGCG